AAGAGAAAAAAAAAAAAATTATCCTATTTAACACAGACAGGACCATAAACATAATCGAGAATGGGGACATAGATCCTGAGTACAGTGGATTCTGGAGGATCGTATACGACGAGGGATTATACATGGAGGTGTATAAAAAGAATGACGAGAAAGGAATTTATTTCTCCTTCTTCAAATTTCAACGAAAGAAGGACGCGTCTTATAGTCACTGCAACAGGTTAATCATGGGGGTAGTTAATGTGTATCATCTTAATGGCAGTGAGGGAGGTTCTTCTTCGGGGCTTCCCCGGATAGACGGTCTCGCAGATCAGAATGCAGGAGGAGAGAAGGACCCCCAATTGGGGGGTGCCTTTCTCGTCAAGATGGAGAATAAAAGCACGAATGGGTTAACCTCCAACAGGATTAATCTTTCCAAAGAGAGGTTCCATTTTGTGGGCTTAAAAGAAGGTGCACGGAAGAATTCGAGCCATTCAATCGACTATTACAATGATAATTATATTCAGTTTGACTTCTTCACCATGAAGAGGTTTTGCTGGTATGGGAAGAAGGTTGGTACGCCTGATGAGCCTACGAACAAGATCCCCGTGGAGATCATTTCTCCCCTTGTACTGGACCCAGACACGCACAACAAGAATTACGCAAATGTGACGTTGAAGTGGGGCGGTGCCAATGGGGGAGAGACACAGCGATTCGATGACAAAGAAGTACATACCCATCTGACAGTCACCCAACTGAGAGCCCTCCCAAAACACACAAAGAGATCACACAAAGGGGTGAAGCAGAACAGCATATTTAACACCTATCGTGAGAAGGAAGTCACCTTGACACAGTTTGACTGGACAAACGAAGATGATGTGAGGAAGAGACTTAATGGGAAATGGGTAAAAGTTATCGACGAAGTGATCGACCAGAAGGAATGCGGGTCTTGTTATGCAAACTCAGCTGCGTTAATTATTAGCAGCAGAGTGAGAATTAAATACAGCTATATAAAAAACGTTGATCTCCTATCCTTTAGCAACAAGCAGCTAGTCCTTTGTGACTTCTTCAACCAAGGATGTAATGGTGGCTACATTTATTTGTCCCTAAAGTATGCGTATGAGAATTTTCTTTTTACAAAAAAGTGTTTTCTGAGGTACTCCCATTTATATTTGAATAGAGACAAGAAGAATAGCGCGTTGTGTGATCGGTTTGATACGTTTAAGATCTTTCTGCAGAAGGGCAGGGAGGAAAACTACTTAAGTGCGCAGGTGGGGCCACCAGACAGACAGAGCAAACGAGTGCAACAGCACGAGCCTTTCAGGAGGAATGAGGAAGAGGTCCGAGGGGAAGAACTGATTAGGGGAGAAGAAATGGGTAAATCCTCTACCCAAGGTGAAGAGCACAAAGGGGCAATTTTTCACAACGGGGGAAATAAACACACTGGGCGCCATGTCTATGATGTCCACGATCTGCGCGACGGAGGAGACCTCCCCAGGGACGACGAGCTAAACGAGGGCTACCTCCCAGTCGATGCCCCCGCGAGGGATGCCAGCGAGCTGGACGTGCTAAAACTACACGAGTGCGACGCGAAAGTCAAAGTGACAAAGTTTGAGTACTTGGATATAGAGGACGAAGAGGATTTAAAAAAGTACCTATATCATAATGGCCCCGTAGCAGCAGCAATTGAGCCCTCAAAAAATTTTCCGGCGTATAGGGAGGGCATACTAACAGGGAAGTTCATAAAGATGTCTGATGGGGGGGAGTCCAATGCGTACGTATGGAATAAGGTCGACCATGCTGTAGTTATAGTTGGGTGGGGAGAAGACACGATTGAAAATTTGAAAAAAAAAAAAAAAAAGGTTCACCATTATTCAGGTCATCTTGACGATTATGCTAGTGCAAAGGGGGGCGAGGCCGCAGGGAAGGTCGTCAAGTACTGGAAAATTTTGAACAGCTGGGGGACCAAGTGGGGGTACGACGGCTATTTCTACATTCTGCGCGATGAGAATTACTTCAGCATAAAGTCGTACCTGCTCGCGTGCGACGTGAGTTTGTTCATCAGGAGCGGAGATTCGAGGGTGCAGCGAGGGTGAAGCGATGGTAATGTGAGGGTAAAGCGATGACAACGCGAAGGTGAGCAGTACTCTCTTTTTGGGGTGAAGGGCTCGGGCGAAGTCTCAGACGCTCCGCGCTTGCGCGGGGGGCCCTTTCTCCAAAAGTTACGCGCGTAACTACGCGAGGAATTAGACAAATTCGGTCGCATGGTCTTGAATTTATACGGTTTCTTCCCCGCTACAATGGTGCACCGCTTCACCGTGTGCGCCCTTTTTTTGATACTCCACTTGGAACGTGTTAAAGCACTTCGGAGGGGGCACCCCATCTCGTGCTTCCTCTTGTGTGTAACTTCACAATTTAAATTTTAAAAGCCACCGGGTAGGTGGCACCTCTTTGAGTTCGCTAAAAAAGTGCGTCTTTAAAGGTGCGCCTTTGGGGCAACCCCCCCTCCTGCCGCTTCCCTTTTAGTTGCTCACCCCCCTGGGGGGTTCCAAACTGGTGTCTCTCCTCTTCTCGAGGAAGCGCTTTAAGGATAACTTAATTTCGTAGTGTAGCTTCTGGAAGAGGATTTGAAAAATTGGATTTTTCCCTGTCCTCAATAAACTCTTGTAAACAAAATGATACTTATCGAAGTGGTTATTTAGAAATAGTTGCAGTTCGAATATATCATGGTGGTTGAATTGTTCTTCTTTGTCTTCTTTTCCTTCTTTCTCGTCTTTTTCGTCGTTTTCTTCTTTGTTTTCTTTTTCTTTCTCTTCTTTTGCTTCGTTTTTTAGGGTGGCTTGATTGCAGAGGGCACTTCCAACTTGTTCTGCCCTGTCTGCCAATTGTGATATGTCTTGCCTCAACCCTACAGCTGACGTTGTTTGTAGTTCCCTGGAATGGATGCTAACACCTCTGACTTTCCCGTTTGGGGGAAACCCCCCCTCTTCGGAGAAAGCACCGGCTGATGATCTCTTGGGGGGCACAACATTATTATAAAAAGAGTAATAAATTACGTGGTTGTTAAAAATATGAGTCATATTATAAATGTGTACATCATTGTTAATGTTGAAGATGTGCGTATAATTTTTGAAGGCCTCATAGCAATTGACTCTCCTATTATGAATTTCGATGTCGGCATTTATGTTGGCATGGACGTAAGATCTGTATATACACATGTACAAAAGTTCGCAGATGTTTACTCTAAGAGTGGATTTATATTTGTACTCCGTTTTTCTACTTATGGTGGCGTAATTTAATCCCTTATCGTAGTAGCACAGCAATTGATTAGTGTTGGATTTATCACTGAGGAAAATTAAATCCAAATAGGATATGTTAGTGACCAGTGTGTCCCATAATTCTTTCAACTTAATCTTATCGATGTTGTAATATAGAGGGATATGGATCAGCGCCAAAGACGACAGGATTTTTATTTTATAGACATTTGTGTACCTTAGTGTACTTATTAAGTGCTCTAGAATCTGGCTGTGCAGATCGGAAAAGTTGTGGGCCAGGAAGAAGGAGAAATTGTTGTATATCAGTTTGAAGGTGTAGAGGACATTCCATGTGATTTTGTTTTTTATGTGTTCCTTTACGATGGATAGGAGGTAGAGAATAATTTTTGCGTCCACGTTGTTGTTCGATCTGTTTATTGGGTTATTTTTGCCTCTGCTCGAGTGGAAGATGTCCTTTATTTCGATCACAATAGGGTCTGCGTGCACTTTCTCCTCCCTCTTTTCAGAGTACCCTTGGAAGAGCTGCTCCGGGTTGAGGAGTTCCTGGGGGGCATCTTCCCATTTCTGTAATTCATCGGTGCTATGTTCCTCGTTATGCACTTCCACGATGGGTTGTTTCTGGGGGTCATGTACAGATGTATTCTGCCTCCGACCTGGTTTCTCCTCCTCCTGGGAAGCGTTTCCCTTCTTCTTCTTTTTCTTCCTTCTACCCCCTTCGCAGGGCTCACTCCGTTGTGAGGGATCCTCGTTCGAACTAGCCATCCTCGTGGATATTCCCTTCTCCCCGTTTGACTTCTCCCACTTCGCTGCGCCTCCCTTGCACGAAAAGAAGCTGTCTTCAAAATTGTACTCATACTTTACGTAGACGTTTAGGAACAAGTGATACAATTTGCACATCTGCGTTGACTTCATTTTGGAGCAGAACTTCTGTGTTGGCTTCATTTTCGAGTTGCTCTTCTTCTCGTCGAAGGTCGGTACCTCGCTGGACGCTTGTCCGTGGCTTCTTTCACCTTGGTGTGCACAGGCAGGGGAGTGCTCCCTGGTGTCGACCGTCACGAACACATCGCTGCTTCTGCTGCGGACGCTTATGCTTCTGACGCTTCTTCTGCTGGAGCTTTTGCTTCTTACGCGTCTGTTCCTGCTGCTTAGGTTCGTTCTCATCTTTGCGAACAATTCCTCCCCCCACACGGAGTGCTTTTTCCCCTTGGACGCCTCTTCCTCGTTCGCCACAGCACCGATGTTGGCAGCGCCGTGTGATGACCCTTTGCTGTGTCTACCTCCAACTCTGGAGAGTCCTCTCCCGAGCAGCCCCTTCTTCTCAATCAAATTATTGAGGTATACGAAATACTTCAGGAGAAACGTCGAGGGAAGCAAACTGATCGAATTGAATAAAAAAAAGTTTATATTTTTGCATATAAATCCTACGTACCTAATGATGCAACAGATTGCCCGGTCTTTCTCCACGTTTTTGTTTTCTCGGATGATTAGCAGGAGTATGTAGATGTACTCTATGTAGGAAATGAGGTATATGTTGTTTGAGAATTGGTCATGCAGGTTTTGCGCGTTATGGGCAGTGATGCGATTCGGTTGATTGGCCAGGGTGGGGATACTCCCTGCGTCGCTTGACAAACCTCTGCACGGGGGAACTTTGCACGGCGGAACTTCACACGGGTAAACTTCATACAGCGCACCTCTCCCGCTCGTGCAGCTGCTACTAGCCGTCGTGTTATTACTTCTGGATGTGGCGCAAGTTTCCCCTTTGTGAGAGAAGCCCTCCGCTGCACTCGCATCTGTGTGGTGGTTGCACTGGAGGAATTCACCCGTAACTGTTTCTCCGTTTGACGTGATGCTCTCCCCGCGCAGGCGAAATAACTTCAACTCCTCCACGTCTGAGGACAACCGAATGCTGTTAATAAAATTGATAAATTTGTTAATGTCCTTATTCTCTTCACTGTTGTAGTTACTGTAGTAGGAAAAAGTCTTGATGTTGTTTTGAGTAAAATAAAACGGGACATAGGAGCTAGCTATTTCGCATATGCAGTTGTATGTGTAGTACTTGAGGTCTACAAATGAATCGTTGTAAAATTTGATAATGTGAATGATGATATATATATATATATAGTAGAGCTCGAACAATTTCCTTTCGCTTCTTTGCTTTTGTAGTAGGTATGCGTCTTTCCTTTGTCTGTCCAGGGAGTCCTTTGATTGGGGTTCGTCCCCTTGGTCCTTTTCGTACACGTGGAGGGAATTGATTGCACAGGTGTCCCTTGTTCTACTTTGCGCAATGGCATGTTCAGTGTTTTTTTTCGACTGGGCAACTTCACAAGTGGGTGCAAGTAAAAGCTGTTTGTTGTTACACTGTATGTTGATCTGGATCACCTGGTTGCTCATATGGCGGTTCATATGGCTGCTAATCTGGCTGCTAATCTGGCTGCTCATCTTGCTGCTCATCTGGCCGCTCATCTGTCTACTCATCTTCATTTGGAGGTTCTCATGTTTCTTCAATCCCCCCCACTGGGGATCCTCCCTTCTGTTCTGCCTCTTAATCAATCCACACAATTTGCTCATTTTGTCTTTTTTGACATTTCTCGTATTCGTCGCCATTTTTGCTAAGGAAATAGGGGGGAACCGCTCCTTATCCTTCTCGTCTTTGTCTTTTTGAGTGTAAGTCAGTTTTTCCTGATTTTTTTTTGCCATATCTTCCGCGTTGCACCCCTCTGGGTTGCTGATTCTGCCTCTTTGTTCTTCCATCATGGATTTTTCGTGCGAGCATTTAAATGTTGAGTGAGTTATACTGACACAGCGTACGGAGTTCTCTTTCCCTTGCTGCTTCGGTTGCTGCTCCTTCTGCGTTTGTGCTTTTCGTTCCGTCTCGGCAATTTCGTTTAACCCACCTATCTTTTCAGAAATGGTAGTGTCTCTTGAGTAAGGAGTCACATCCGATGAACGCTCATATTGAACTGGGTCTTTCAAGTTGTCCATTAGCATTGTACAGGCTGAGTGTGGACCCACTTGCCTCAATTCACGTGCTATTATTTCCGTGCTCCTATTACTGCTTCTACGACTGTTGCTGTGGTGGGGGACCTGCTCCAAGTTACACATGGTTGAACGGGAGGGCACAGTCACTACATTTTCAAAAAAATATTTTTCATCATGCCATCCCTCGTGGGGGTAATTCACGTGATGCGGAGAGGCATTAACAGGGTAGTAATCTTTTCTAATCTTTTCCTCTTCTTCGATAAGAACAGGACATACCTTCCACCTTCCATTCTCTCGTTCGTAATTCATATTCGTGGGGTTCGAATGTATGAAAATGTTTGTAGATGTGCCGTTTATCTGTGGGGAGGTAACAGGACGTGTGGTTATACTCGTACACATGTTCGTTTTCCATTTTGGCTCAAATGTGTGTACGCTGTTTGGGGGGGGTAGATTCGGAAGGTTCGCTGCGCTGTGGGCTTTGCTTTCGATGTTTCCTTGCAGGTGGTCTTTTTGCAGATCGTTTTTTAGAGAGCCATTTTTTGAGGCGTAACTGATGCCGCTCTGACTTGTGGTACCTGCCTCCCCTGGGAGAACCTCCCCAAACACACCCGCTTCCCTGGTGAGGATATTATTATAGTAGACATTGGTTGAATTTATATGCAGCAAGTTTATCCTCTTCTCATAATTCTGAATAAATTTTTTATTAAAGGTAAAAATGTACTTGATAATATATTTGCTTAGGGCGGTAATGATGTTACACTTAATGCTGTGAACACAGGAGGACACAAGGTTTGTCAATCGCTGGATGTCTTCAACTGTTAGGATTTTAAATCCTGTATAGCTCAGATGAGAGATGCAGATGATGGTGTTTAGGAAAATATGCTTCAGTTTGCTTCTTCTATTTGTGACATCGTTCTGTATTTTATTTATGTTGTGGATGTGGACGAGAATGTACTTCCGGAAGAGGTCCACCATGTCGCTTTCGACGAGCTGCACGAATTGTTTCTTCTTGCTCATTTCGGTTGCCTCGCTGTGGTGCTGGTCGATCGTACCGTTTGTGCTTCCCTCGGGGGGGACCCTTTCTTGCATGTGATATTCCGCATGTTTGGAACCGCTTCTATTCCGTGCTTCCTTCGGGGGGGTCATCAAACGGTTTGAAGTGTTCCCGATGGAGTTGTTCCCGATTGAAGTATCCCCAACCAAAGGAGCTTCCCCCCCCTTAGAGTCACTCCAGTGGGGGCTTATATGTCTGACTTCCTCCGCACTCGCTACGCATCTGTGAACACTTCCATAGGGTGATCTCTGCACACCATGCCTGAAACCAGTTTTAGACACACCCGTGTTGGTGCGGTTCTTCCTGCACACTTCAGCGCACGTGGGTAATTCTTCTTCTCGCCGACCCTCCTTCGGACGCAACGTGTATTCCCCCCTGCGCTTGTCCCACTCCTTCCCCCTCGACGCACTCTTATGAAATATGTTGTCATTCTTATATTCATCCTTTTGTCTATAAATTGGAAGTTCATACTCACTGCAGTTAACCTCGTAGTAAGAATTGATAAAGCTGAAGATATCAATGACTATCTTAATGGAAATAATTTTTATGTGCAGATTTTCCGATTGCAGAAAATATTCTAGCAAAGTTCTGACGTCATTCCAACAGTGCATGTAGCAGAACAAATAGTGTTTTAATGTCTTCTGAAAGACTAAGAAGATATTTTTAAAGATTTGAATATCATATGGTATTAAATTTGGTATGAAATTGTTTCTGTTCAGGAGATTATTCAGCTGGTTCATCTCGTTACTTTCCTGTTGCATGTACGAAATGATGTAATTGTCGTAGAGGTCCTTGTACGAATTGTTGACATATTTTTTTTCGTAACGGTAACCTCTCAGGTTAGGGTTTGACCGATCCGCTTTGTTGGGATGCCCTCTAAGGGAGTACTCCTGATGGGTGTTGCTGTCCAAATTGATTTGTTCTTCTTCTTGGCATTGTTGTGGTTGTTCCTCTTGGTTGGCTTCCCCCTTCCGTATAGCCTCTCTCCTCCGTTTCTCAGCGAGCAATTCGTTCCCGTTTTCCATCCAAATAGCTATGCCATCTACGCAGGGTTGATAAAAAATCTTATACAAAAATATCAACATGAAGTATATTAACTGTGCAAAGGAGATATCATACAGCTGATTATGCGTAGAATGGTGGCAGGAAATGTTGTGATCATTTAAGGTTGTGTTGATATTCACTCCGTATATGTTCGTGCAGAGGAAGCGGAAGATTTCATCATTATAATTGCACAGAAGGACCGAAAAGATATTAATAATAACCGTTATCATGGTTATATATTTGGAGCCCCTGGAATATTCATTGCAGTACAGAATGCTGATTAGCAGATCGTAATCTTCGATCGATAGAAGCTTCTTATTTATTTTGTCTATGTGTTTGTACAGGTAGGATAAATCGTTCTCGTCTGCTTTTTTGCCGACCTTGTTTATCTTTTTTGTCGCATCGATTATGTTTGTATATTTGCATGAACATATGCTCCCTTTGGTGGATTCCTCTTCTTGTGAGTCCTCTGCATCTTCCCCGTCATCCTTCCTTTCCTCGTTTTTTTTTTTTTTCTTCTTTCTCTTTTTTGGATTTTTCAGTTGCAGTGCATCTGTTCTGGGAGGGATGTCTATCCTCTCATCGGCGAATTTCCCACGGGCTCCATTTTGATCCGTTTCATTGGAATGCACGCGAGACGGGGGTAACTCCTCCGCCTGCTCAAATACACTCTCCGCACTTTTGTCATTCCATGTGACCTCTTTGCTGCTATCATTTGGGGTGGCTGCCTCTTTGTCTTCATTATTACCCTCTGTGTGTTTTTTCTCTTCTTTTCCTTTTTTCATATATCCTTTACTTTTTCCTTTCGGTTTTTTGTCCAGGTCCCCCTCGGTGGCGCTCTCCTCTTGATCGGCTAGACTTAGGTGGGTCGTGCGATGGTGGTGGATGGGTAGGCCTCCTTTTCCGGTGCATCTTGGAACGTCCCCTTCGACTCCTTCTGGAAGCACTCCCCCCGATGGGTCCTTCCTCTGACCATCCCCCCTTTCACCATCTCCCTTCTGATCGTGTGGCTGCTCCCCCCCCTGGGCATCGATCTCTTCGTGTTCCCCTGTGTCTCTAAAGCTGTTCAGGTAATTACTGAGCGAGGTAAACACGCGCTCATCCTCATCGAGGTAGTCATGCGAGTAGCAGTCGTTATCACTAAACTGCTTCATGCGGAGCATTTCTCTTCTATGTCGGCTCAGGTGCACATTAGTGCTTGTCTGGCTGCACAGCGCGTTGACACTTCTAAAATGAGTTGCCGCTCTTTCCCTCTCTGCAAACTCTTCGATGTATGGAAGGAGGGAGTAACCAAAAGGGATGTTCCTTTCTGGTTGCCAACTCCTTTTGGACGTACCATCTCTAAGAAGTAGTCTCTTAATGCAGAAATGGAAAGCATCACCATGGTTAAAATATATGAGGTACTTTAATAAGTAGAAAAAAAAAAATTTCAAAATTTTTCTCAGTAAATTTTTATATTTTGGTATTAATATCGATTGGGAGACTCTGAGAAAAAATCTGCAGATGTTTAGTCTGTCCGTGGGGGTGTAGAAATTATTTTCCTTCTCCACCATGTATGTTTTGATTATAAGTTTCGTTAACTTTGTGAGTAGCTTTACAATGTTCTGTTCAGTGGAGGCTTTTTTTGCATTAGAGTAGTTTCCTTTCTCGTTGGACTCTTCATTCGTGTAGCTTTCATAACGATATTCTCGCCTGGGGTAGGGAAATCCACTGTTGGAGCTGCTACCAAGAGGGTTATTATCAACTCTCACTTCTCCATAGGTCTGCATCTGATTATCCCCTTGGAAGATTCCCAGAAGTGATGAAGCATTTGTTCCAATTTCTGCTTCTCTCTTTACGATATGTTTCATATCGTTAAATAGAAGAACTGAATGGGGTGCTTTTCCCATGTGGGCATTCTGCTTCATCTGTTTGTCTGGGAAAGACAGGTTGGTATAACCTGCACTGTAGGAGTTTTTTCCAGAAGGGGTGTTACGGCGAAGGAGGTAGTTGTCTCCCTTTACTGGCACGTTTTGATTCTGCCTGTTCACTTCTATCATTTTTTTGGTTGGACTTCCGTTTGGAATTTCCTCTGTGAGGGTTAGGTTATTCCTCTGGTGATGTGGGCATTCCACGAGGGGGGTCGTTTCGTGTGAGCTCGTTCCGCCGGTGGGATAGCTTGGTGGAAACGTAACTTGGCCAGTAAGGTGATTTCTGACGTGGCCACTAACGTGACCGCTAACATGGCTGCCAAGCGGGGCGCCGCTGTAACTCCCCTCCTTCAGCAAAAACCAGTACTTGAGTTGTTTGCAATCGAAGAGGTACTTGAGGCACAAAATCGAATTCGTTCGGATCTTCTGATTCTGGTCATTCATCGTGAGGGTCAAAAATATCGGGATCAATTTTTTTCTGTTCTCATTGTAGTAGTAGAGGATCTTGTCCCAGTTGTTTATATAGATGTGCGAGAACATTTTGATTAGGGAATGTACACAACAGAGAATGTTATTTCGTATGGATGCGGCTAACTCCTCGTCTTCTGCTTTTTTTTTGGAGTAAAACTTGACCGGCGAGTCTACTTTCCCGCTTTGCTGCTCAGAACAGTGGTAGTCCCCCTTCTGAGGGTCCGCTTCCCTCGTTTGGTTTATGGGGCCAAGCTGGGTTGCACTTTTGACGCATCCGTAGGTGTTCTTCTCAACGGGAATATCTTCGGTGTTTTTCTTTTTTGAAAAGGGTGCGCCAGGGGTGGATGTCTTCTTCAGAGAGGCGGTCTGTTCATTTGCTTGATCAGTCGTTTGGCTAGTCACTTGGTTGGCCTCGTCCATATTTGTCGTATTTCCCGTATCTTCCTTATTTTCCGTACATACTCTACGCGCCGCATTTCCAGCCTGGGCCTTTCCATCTACAACCTGTCTGCTGCGTGTGGTGTACCCCGGCCCTTCTCGAGCTTCCTCCAGGGGAACATCTTCCACCTCCACTCCGTCCGGCGTTGTCATAGTGGCGGCTGTTCTGTCGGCCGCTGCTCTCTCCATTGCCGTCCTCTCCGTTAACCAATCCGCCTCATCTGGGTAATTCGTGTTGACGAAGAAAAACGGCTTGAGGGACTCGTATAGGGGAAAGGCAATGAGTTCCTCCTTCTTTCTGTTCCTCGAAATGATTCTGATTTTGGCGTATTCCAAGATAGTTTCGTTGAAGGCGTTTATGAAGGGCAGGAGGATTGCCAGGGAGTTTTCGTCGTAGGAGTGCAAATCGCGGTGCTTCCCTTCGCACTCACCAAACAGCAGGTTGTTCTTAAAGTACTGGTATAACTTCTCGAAGAGGGTCTTGTACAAATTAAGGAGAAAGAACCACGCCTTGTCTGTAATCGAAATGGGCTTAATTAAAATTAATTTCACGACACAGTACAGACACGTCTTGATGAGGTGAAGAATGTACACACCCAGGTGGAGTAGAACGAGGAGGTTCTTTGCAACTACACAGATGCTATACAAAATGGAGGAGTTAAATTTATGGACATAATTTGAATTCAGTAGAAGAAGAAGCATTTCGTAAAACTTATTTAAATTAAAAAAAAACTCCTGGCTGTTTTTTACTCTTAATTTGGCTAAATAGAGATTGAGTTCGGTCAGCTTTTTTTTTTTAAAGGCGTCATTATTCATGAATACATCATTGAATACATTGTTGCTGTAGTATCGTATGTTTTGGATTATGATTCCGAGTTTGCTGCCTGGGGGGATATGCCTCGTGGTTGTGCTACGTGTGTCGGAGTATCGTTCGGGGTATCCACCGGTGTACCCCTCAACATAGCAGTCATCGTAATGGTTGTCATTTCTTTCGTCCCTTGCCTCGGCGCCTACCCCTTCGATGTTCTCAACTGGACAGTTCACTGCTTCATCCACTCCTACATCCGCTGCTACATCCGCTGTACCTCTTCCAAGGCCAAGGAGATCCCCCCAAATGGTTCCGTTGCATGCCCGACTGTGATGGTCAAACTGGCACTCTGTCAGCGGCTGCATGGTTTTCTTAATTGGTTTGGTGTTCAGAAGGTTCGCCTCTTTGGAGTCATCCATATTGCACATAGTGGCATCAAACGAATGGGCCTTTTCCCTCATTCTTCCAATTTGGTAGCTTGTAGAATTGTTCGTCAAAATGTTCAGACCGTAGTTTCCTTTGCTGTGGTGGTGGTAAGGAGCAGGACCCTTGGAGGGACATCTGGTGTGATGTTCTTCACCTCGGTTTAGCTGCACACTATGGAGTATACCGTGCTGTCTATGCTGGTGTATCATGAGTGATAGGGGTTCTATTCCCTCCTTACATTTGTTTGCAGAACTGAGAAAATTGTCTGGGTTAGAGGCGGAATGGTGTGGAATTGCCGTGGGTACGTAGTTGTTTCCATCCCTCGCAAGGTGGGATCTACCCCTCCATTTCATCGTACTGTCAAGGAAGTACCCTTCAGGAGAGAAAATCCCAATTCTGTTAAACTCGTCAAGAAGCATCACTCCTGCGTCCTCCGAATGGCTACAAGGGATACCACCCCCTTGTATTCTTCCACCACTCATCAGCTTCGTTTTGTCGTTCAGATTACAGAGCCCACTTGTATTCATGACGTGTTCATTAACCGTGAGGGAATTTCCTACGTTAAAATTCTTCATTCTTCTGTACAGGCTGACTAGCCATTTGGATTTGTCATCCAGTGTGCTGACGATTGAGCTATTTTGTTTGTTCTTTGTCAGATCTATGTTGCTTATTAGGTGATCCCCTTTGTAGTAGGGCTTAAATTTTGTATCTGCAGTTATTGTACAACTTCCATGTCCTAAACTGTTCCCCTTTGTGGTCACTTTCGCGCTGGTGTAAAGTTCAAATTTGTTACCATACGTGCCCCCACCATTAGCGGCATGATTAGCGGAGTTTCCTACCCGTAGTGTATTGACATTTAATCTTCCTATGCATTTCTCTCCTTTGGATTGGTCTATACGGCTGTGTAGATCCCTGTACTTGGCACAGCCAGAATTGACCACTATGTCGTGTGGTAGTTTTGTGCCCTTATCCGTCAATGGGGAGTCATCACGGTGGAGATCTGTTCCTACCTTTGACATCTCTACTCGGTTGAGGTGATTTGATTTGTTCACTTGGCTCTTGTCGTGCATAAATGGTTGTTCGCTCCAATTAGGGTTCACATACCCTTGGTCACGTTTGTCCTGAATTGTTCCTGCTGGGGAGTTCTTCTCAGTTGAGACGTTGATGCCTGGTGAGGAGCTTCCCATGCTAGACAGCAGCATCTTGCTTAATTTCATTTTGCTTATGTGGTCATCTACTAGTCTGATACCATTCTGCAGATTAATTTCTTTTCCTGGGTTGTTCAAATGAGGCATCTTCTCGCAACTTTGATGGATGGCACAACTTGTAGTTTTCTTGCTGCGGAGGACTTCTTCGCAGGGGTGGTGGCTCTCCTTTCTGGTTAGTAGTTTATTTGTGCAAGTTGGTAGCTGATTTGTGTGGGTCACCTGATTTTCGAGATTCTCCTGGCTTTGGTGCGTCACTTGGTTTGTGTGGGTCACCTGGTTTGCGAGATTCCCTTGGTGTGTTCGCTCCATTTCGCTGGCCCCTTCTGCTCCATCAGGACAGATAGCCACATTTTCGCCTCTACCTTGGCTGTAGTTAGCATATCTGACAAAGATGTTTCCCCCCTGCAGAGGAAACACATCCTTATAGTTCTGGTTCGTGTGTCCATCTTCGTTTCTCGGCTGGTTACTCACTGGAGAGTTGCATCTGTAGATGCCCGTCTGATCATTGTTTAAATTACAGACATTTTGTATATCTAGGAGAAGGTCCCTATTTTTGTAGTGGCCCTGTGAAGGGGCCAAGTGTGTGTTGCTTGTGAGTTCAGCTGTTCGCAGCGTCCCGTAGTATAGCACCTCCTGTTTTAGTTCATTTAGCAAATTTTCTTCCCGGTGTGCAGTGTCATAATGGTTTGCAGTGACATAATCGTTTACGATGTCGCTTCGGTGGATGAATAGTCGGCTGGGGGGGCTATCTCCAACGCCGTTTGTCATTCCTCCCTCTCCGCGCGAATCTGTGCAGAATCCGCGTTCTACACCGCCTGCTACACCGCTTCGAGCACCCTTTTCTATGCCGCTCCCGCCCTGCTTGTCACTCATTACGTGATCAATCTTAGATGCGCCGTCGACGATAAAGGATCGAAGCGATGGGAAGAAGTCTCCATTTACCCCCACGCAACGCACCTCCTCCGCAGCTCTGTCCTTTTGGTTATTACAATGGCTCAGTTTAGTCGTATTGTGAAAATCTTGAAATTGAGCGGCACTGTAATTGGTGCTACCTTGGATGAAGCAACTCTGTACTTCTCCCATTTGAGGGTTCTTCATTCGTTGGACATCTTCCTGAAGGGAGATAAACTCGGCTTTGTTCTTTCCATGCATCATTAGATGGCTGCCCTGGTCCGATCGAGAGTTTACCCCTACATCATCTGCAACACTCAAGTTGTAGTGGTCACTTTTTTTACTCAATTGTCCCGTTTTTATATCCGGCTGAAGGGGAGTGCGTTGAAGTAATTCCTGCAGGTGATGCATCAGATTATTTTGCGGTGCATGTAGTTGGGTTCCCTTCGGATCAGTCTGCACATATAGAGGGAAATGTGTCTTCTCGGGGGCATCTATGCACTTTACAGTTTTATTCGCAATGTAATTCATTCCGATTTGGTTGTCCGTGGCGTGTTTGTCGTCCAGTGGGTAATATTTTTGTACGCTGTGTTGGGCCTCTATCTGTGGTGAAGTTTCCACTTGGTCGTTTTTGTCTTTCCTTTTGAAGCTGCACATGATCATGTTAAATTGTTCCTGCGTGATGGCCGGCGCAGCATTGGGGGGTATACTTAGCCCCATGTTGGGGGTCCCATTTGGGGATCTACTTAGCACCCTGTTGGGCGTCCCATTTTGGGGAACATTCCCCTTTGCGTTTAAAAAATCCTGCACACCCTTTTCCATGTTGTATGCTCACACAAATTTTAGGGGGAAATTAATCGTGGCTATCTGTGCCCCCGTGTGGATGGCACTATCAGTACATGCACGTACTGGTGCGTAAAGGCAGGAGGGAGGGAGGTTTGTGTGAGCGCGGTGCGTCAACACGGATTTGCTCTAGCGGGAATAGGAAAAAACATGTAGTTTTCTAGGTGTATGTCTATGTTTATGCAGATAAGTATGCTCGGATTGATCGGGGGGCTTCCTCCAAATGGTTGCGCAACGTTGCTGCGCCTTCTTGAAGTGCTCTCTATCTTGTCCTGATCATTCCCCGGTTCGCTTATCCCAAGTGGTCATTTCGGATTTGAAGGAAGTCATGCAGACATTTTATATAAATTTCTCACAAAAGAGCGAATTGTGGGGAGGCAGTGGAACGAATTCACTAGGGAACAAGACCTCTTCTAGTTGGGCTCCACCTCCGGAGAGGTTCTTCATGCATCGGTTCGAGAGTCCCTTTTTCCCAAACAAGCAGTGTAAAAAGAAGCTCACATGAAATCGAACGGGACAATGTGGATTCTTTGAACAGCTTACCTCACGTTCTGCTGTGTAGATGTATTCTTGCAGGAATAAGCATGCGAGACGTTTTGAAAGAATGAAAAAAAATAACACCACGGCTGTATGAGGTAGTACATATTTGTTAGGAGCTCCTTGTCTACAAAAGCCGATGTTTTCATAGAACAAATGGGAGAAGCAGGCAAAGGTATGCGCAAGGGTATGTACAACTAGGAAGAAGCAAACATGCGCTTTTTGCACCTATGTGTGGTGATATTCTCCGATAAGTATACATCCACATGGAAACGCGTAAAGGTAGTAATATCAGAGGAAGGAAAAGAAAAAAACAATCCTTGCGAGTGCACAGATGGGGTTATATTTGTGTAGCAATTAAAATGAATGGACTTATCCAGTCTTAGGTATGCTCCCCCATAGACGTACTCACCAACAGGGAATTGTAAAAGACAAAGTAATGTATACAAATAAATACGAAGTAGAGCACGCCAGGGGTTGGGAATTCAAAGGGGACTTCTCACACCAGAGTGAGCTATTATCATGAAGGGGGGAAGGAGACTAAATGGAAGGACGTTTGGCTTAATTCGATGCTACAGAAGATGGATTCTCACGGAGGGGATAACCATACATGTAGAGATATGCACAGTCGAATTTTGATATCTACACATGCACAGAAATGTGTCTGCATCTGTAGAATCTCCTTCTTCACAGGTGCACACTTAGTCGTGTTCTCAGATTTTTTTTTTTTTTCTCGCCTTTCTTTTCCTGGCTCCGTTAAAAGGAAGCGAAAGACAATGTACTCCCACTTCGTACCTTATCAGGTGAGCAATTAAAATGGGTCACCACTCATTGCATCGAGGAAATCACACAGATTTTTTAAAAAAAAAAAAAAGTCAACAATGGAATATTTTAAAGCATCACTTGCACTTGAAATTTTTTTAATAAGAAATGAATCGGTGTTGTGTGGCGCGGTGGTGAGTCAAGA